GCCAAGGTTGGAGACCCCCTGCTCTAGGACCTTTAGGATAACCTGTATGCGTTCTTACCCAAAAGATAAAGTCTGAAGGTCCTTGTTGACTGCCGCATCTTTTGTGTATTTGTGCTTATCATGTGTTGATGCCTCTTGGAGTGGTGCGGTGGCCTAGAAGTGGAGCTCTCGCCTCACAGTCAGGATGCTGTGAGTTCAATCCTAGATAGAGGCAGATATTTCTCTCTCTGGGCACACTTGAGAATATATCTGCTGAACAAACTTCACACTGGCGACAGGTAGGGCATCTGGCCATTAAACACTCTGCTAGCTCCATTCAGTTGCCCAGACTCTACCCTGCAAGGGATTATGGGGTCATGAAACGATGATGATGAGGTGATACCACTTCTTCAGACAACCAAGGTTGCTTTCTCCTGAAGCTTGGACGAGTCACTCCCTTAAATTGTGAAAGCGCTTAAAATAGACCTTCCACTCATGTCAGCAAGGGTGGATGGAGACCAAGTGTCCATATGTTTTTAAGGTAGTTGCCCCAAATAGAAATGGAATTGTCGACCAGGGTTCTGAAATGTTCAGGAGCTTTTGAATCTGGTCAACCTTAATCATACGAATGCTATTACAGGCGTAAGTCCGAGGACCAGTTGTAAGTCACTCTTTTTAGTGCTGTTGTAACTTTGAACAGTCACTAACTGAATGGTTGTAAGCGGAAGACTACTGTATCTTTCTGGTTTTTCTCACAAATATGACAAATATATACAAATACTACAAAAATACTTTTGGTCTGGAAAAAAGAAAGACCAATGGGAGTTCAGCTGTACCCACCATCTCTCTTTCTGTTCTCCTCTCTTTCCCCTTTCTTTGTTATATATACCATGTTTCCCTGAAAATAAGACGGGGTCTTATTTTCTTTTGGACCCACCCCCCCCGAAATAAGTGAAATTGGCCTTATTTTGGGGGAGGTCTTATTATTTTTGAGGTGCAGCAGGCAGCGAGCTTGGTCACCTCATGGCTGTTGCAATATTTTCGGGGAGAGCTTATTTTAGCGCATGCGCTCAAAAGCCCAATTGGGTTTATTATCCGGAGAGGTCTTATTTTCGGGGAAACGGGGTATGTGCAGAATATACATATATATATATAAATTATATGGCCGTGTGTTTTCTTAGCATTTTGGCTTGTCTCCAAGAAATGTTTTCTTCTCCAAACTGGACTGCATGTTCTCTCTCTCTAGTTTGGCTGGACCCATGTGACTTTGCTAATAGTTGTTACCCAGTCGCACCTCATCATTCACAACCTGTTTGAAGGAATGATCTGGTGAGTCAGCGCAGCGGGCAGGGTACGCCGCTCCCCTCCATCCTTCGCTGGGGAGGATGGGCTTGGCAGCATCCAGTACGAAAGACCTTGTGCATGTAGCTGCTGCATGATGGGTCCTACGGAGAGGAAGACTTCCTAGGTCTCTGGCTCAAGGGGTGGGGGTGGGGAGGTGTGTTAATGGGCTGGGGGCTGGGGGGCGCTACCGGTCTCCACAAAGCAGAAGACCCTGCTCAAGTCTCAAAACCTCTCTAGGCGACTGTGCTTTTACTAAAGATGAGGGGATTGCCCCTTGGGAGTCTTGAGCAGTAGTGATTACACATTAATCCACACGCACGATTGCCTTGAAGCATCTTCCAGAAGCTTTTCTCTCGCTTGAGCATGGTGTGAAAGGCGCACATCAGGCCTAAGTACGCAGAGTGCTTTTGAGCATTGCAATTTGCCAGTCCAGCTCTGATCATTGGGGGGGGGGGGTCAGAGCTTAATGGGTGTTTTTTGGTTCAGTTCTGGGTGAAGGGATATCCATTTGGGACTCTTTGCAACTGTAATTTTTTTTTGGGGGGGGTGTCATTTTTCAAGCCACCTCTAGGTGCTAAGGAACCGGAAAGACACTTTAGCAACACACAGGGCTTCCTTCAGCTGGAAGGGGCCAAGCACAGCAGGTGTAAATGTTTGACCAGATCTGGGCGAACATCCACTTACGCTTTGCCAATTCTCATTCTCGGTTAGTTTGACCCCCCCACTGCTCTCTCACACATAAGTGTGCAAGACCATCTATCGATCCATCTGATCGATCTAGGCTACCTTAACAAGCATAAAGCGGAGTCTTGGTCCCGACAAAACTTCTTTTATTTACACGACTGAATTTTTTTCATTCACAGTCAGCAAAGGCTTGGCAAACAGTCTTTCAGAAGAATATTTATCCACACGAACCTTATCTCGCTTGGCGAGCTGCCAGATAACTAATTAGTTCCAAAGGCAGGTCAAGGCAACAGTTGGCACAGAGTCCCTTATAGTCACAAACAAAACTTTCCAGATTGAAGGAACAAATTGTTTCCTGCAAAAGCCCCCTCCCCGTTTGCTCCTCTTTTGTTTCCTATGGAAGGGGAAACACTGTCCAACTGTGGCTTTACTCCCAAGTCGACCCTGCTTTCTTAGTTGTTCTTGTCTTCTGGCAGCTCTGGGAACAGGCTCCAGCTGTTCCTCTGCCTCACTACCGTCTAGCTCCCTCCCTGCCTCCGGTGCAGAGCCCTCGTCTGAGCTTTCCCCAGCCCCCAACCTCCTCACTGTCCGACTCTGCTGCCAGCTCCGCTGGCTAGCGGGGGACCACAATGCCATCCATGCATTGACTGACCTAATTGCCAGTTTCCCCCAGGGATGCAACCTTGATTCTTAAACCAGGCATGCTAACAGCAACACTGCCCTCATGTTGGGTCTAGTTCAGAGCTCTCCAAACTTGGCAAAACTTGAACATTTGTAGACTTCATTTCCATTTGACCACCAGTGTGTAGGACACAACAGAATAAATACTAGCTGACACCATGGAACAAATTGTGTCAGTTTCACCAAAACTTCACATCCAAGATTGCTGCAGGCATTTTTAGATTGTGAGGATTTTGGTCGTTGTTATTGTTGTTAATAGAAGTTTCTTCAGGTTGTCTTGACATTTTTTCAAAAGCATCTTGCCGTTTTTGTCACGGAATTCCCAGTGATTAAACCGGCCTGCTTCACCCTGAGTTCATTTTTGGAGGCCTGAAAACAGTTAATAGAAGTTGATTCACACCTCTGGGTTTTTTAAAAATAAAATGATGAGAAACCCATTTACCAAAATAGACCTTGGCCTTTATTAAGAAGAAGAGCACGGTGATGATGATGTAATTTCTAAACTAAGCTTTGCATCAGCAAGAGAATTAATTCAAGCTGTAACGATTAAACCAATATTAAAAATGGGGCTTTTCAAAAATTAAAGGCACAGGCTCCTTTATTGCTATTTGAGGCCTATACAAGAAATGTAGGCATAAATTAGAGCAGTGTTTTTCAACCTTTTTTGTGCAAAGGCACACTTTTTTCATGAAAAAAATCACGAGGCACACCACCATTAGAAAATGTTAAAAAAATTTAACTCT